TTATTAGTAGCATTTGCTTCTGTATTATATGAGTCTGTGTTGTTCCAGCACAGACTTTGTCAGCACTTAAGAGTGTCCAATTTTGGCATATTTTGCCAGTCTATTGGATCTCAATATTTTCTCCTTGTGGTTTTAATTTGTATTGCCCAGATTAATGAAATAAATTGTCTTTTAATACAACAAAAAAGACCCAAAGGAAATTAAGAAACTTGTCAAGATGATAGGAGTTGGTTTTACCACCGAGATCTGCTAATCAACAAATAGAGCTGCAGTTGACTTTGTGGTATCATGGGTAAGCACTACACTTAGACTATTTTTAATTGAGCCTTGCAACAGTATTTCAAGGTAGACTGTACTTCCTCCTACTTTAGGGATAGGGAAATAAAATTGTGGAGATCCAAGATGGCAGGCTAGAGGGAGGCTTCATTCCTTGTGTCTCCGTGACCTGGGATTCAAGTAGTGGGAATACTATTTCTTTGCAAGTTATTAGAAGACCCTGAATGCTGCTCCAGCACAGGAATCCTAGCCACCTTGCCAAGCAGGACCAGGGGCATCAGCACCCATGCAGGACCCCCTGCTGCTGTTTCCATGTAGACCCCCATCTACCAACATGAGGCTCTCCGGGTCACCTCCATCTGCAACCACTGCTATAGTTTTCTACACATGGTAGCTGGCACCTGAGGATAAAGGACAGGATCTGGAGACAGCTGCCAGCCACAACATTGCACGCCACAGAGCTGCACCCTGATCACACCACCCAACACCACCGCAGGTCTTGACTCAACACCCCATCTCTGAAAGCAGCCACCTCCATCTTGGGACACCTTTGTTGCAACTTTACTTGAGGCAACTCCCAGCTTGGGACACTGGCTAGGACCTAGAAGCATTATCAAGGTACTTATAGTCCCCAACTCCCCCCTCTCCCCCACAGCCACTAGCCCAGCACAATGATTGCAGCTACACAGCTGGTCCCTAGCTCACAAAGCCTGACCCTGAACTGACCAATAGAAACCAGCTCTCTCTGTGACAGGTGTGCAGTCCCCAGAGCACAGCCCACAAGACCTCCAGAGAGAGAGGTTCCTGACTAGGAAGTAAAAAGGGAGAGGGTGAGTGAGATACAGTTTAGAGACTAAATTAGAGATCAGGATATGTGAGGTCTACAGGCAATATAAGGAGATAAGACCAGATGCCCACATCACCCAAGTGGGCCGCAAAGGAGAGCCTTGGGATGCAGTCTCCCAACAGGGACTGGCAAGTGCTCCAGGAGCTCCACCCCCAACACCACCCTCTCACCCTAATGACCTTCACCATCCAGAGGGTGGAGAAACCAGCAAACAACAGACCACCCCACCTATTGGATGAGAAGGGAAGCAGGAAACATACTGAACTCCAACAGAAACAATCCTTTAATTTTCCTTCTATTTTTTCCTTTTCTTTTCTTTTCCTTTCTTTTTTCTTTTCTCTCTCTCTTTTTCCACCTTCACATCCCCAACATTTGTGAAACCAAGTACTTTTCATGGATTAGGCTACTGAGAACTGGGATGTCTGATTAGTATATTACAGTTGTGTTCTATATTCTTTTATCTCCTATTTTTTTACATTTTTAAATTTTTCTTAATTTTTACTTATTTTCTGTACTCTCTCTATTGTCTTCTCACTTACTTGTCCTCCCAAATCACTTTCTCTCTTTCTCCTGCTACTAGACAACTTCTTTTGATTCCTCTTTCTTGCTTCCTAAGATCTAATAACTATATCCACATCTCCACCTCTTCAATATCTCATCCTACACCTCACCCCCAGTTCTCTCTTAGTCCACCATCAGAAACTATAGACCCTTTTGAAAACCTACTGTTTATATTGTAGATAAAAAGTGAACTCACCATTTTTGTATATTTTGACAAAACCATAAACTTCTTAATAGGAGCTATTTGGTTTAAGGCTGTATGTATATTGTTTGTATCGGGATCTGTTAACATTGATTTCCCCCATAAAGGAGAAGTATTGGAACTCTGCATGACACAGTAAACCTTTAGGGTAAAAACTGTAACAACTTGGATCCGCAGTGCTAGAAGGGAAGACACATGAACAACATGAAAAAACAAGGGATGAAAGTGCCCCCAACAAACTAAGATGCTACATTATTAGAGTCCATGGCTAACACAGCAGAAGAAATGTCAGAGAAGAAGTTCAGGATGTACATAATTAAAATGTTCTGTGAATTGAAGGATGATATAAGAGAGCAAATACAGGCAGCAAAAGATCTTATTGATAAAGAGTTACATAAGCAAATAAAGGAAGCAAAAGATTACTTCAATAAGGAGATAGAAGTTCTAAAAAAACAAAAAAGAAATCCTTGAAATGAAGGAAACAAACTAAATTAAAAACTCAATAGAAAGCATCACCTACAGATTAGATCACTGTGAAGACAGAACCTCAGACAAAGAAGACAAAATATATAATCTTGAATATAAAGATGACCACACAGTGAAGACAGTAAGAAACCATGAGCAGAACACTCAAGAATTATGGGATAACATAAAAAGACCAAATTCAAGAATTACTGGGATAGAGGAAGGCATAGAGTTATAAACCAAATGAATGAGCAATCTATTCAAGGAGATAATATCAGGAAAATTTCCAAACCTCAAGAATGAATTGTAAAATCAAATACAAGAGGCTTACAGACACCAAACAGATCTAAACCAAGGCACATTTTAATAAAAATGCCTAGCATACAGAATAAGGAGAGAATTTTAAAAGCCACAAGAGAAAGAAATCAGATTACATATAGAGGGAAACCAATTAAGATTTCTATAGATTTCTCAACCCAGACCCTCAAACTAGAAGAACTGGAATAATATATATACCAAGTTCTGAAAGGAAATGGATGCCAAACAAGAATTTTATATCCAGCAAAACCAAACTTTAGGTTTGATAAAAAAATAAAAACCTTTCATGATAAACAAAAATTAAAAAATTTATAACTAGAAATCCTGCACTACAGAACATCCTCGGCAAATGTTCCATGAAGAAGAAATTTAAAACAACAATGAAAATCAGCAAAGGGAAGTATTACACTAAAGGAAAAACCAATCAAAGGAGAAACTAAGTCAAGTTCAAAACCAAAAATAAACAAAAATGAATAGGAATATAAATCATGTTTCAATAGTAATCCTGAATATTAATGGCCTAAACTCTTCAATCAAAAGACATAGACTGGGGCTGGGGTTATGACTCAGAGGTAGAGTGCTGACCTTGCACATGCAAAGCCCTAGGTTCAATCCTCAGCACCATGTATAAATAAATAAAAAATAAAGTTATTAAAAAAAAGACATAGACTGGAAGACTGGATTTTTTAAAAAGATACAACAATATGCTGCCTTCAAGAGACTCATCTCATAGGAAAAGACATCCACAGACTAAAGGTGAAAGGTTAGGAAAAGAACATAGCACTCACATGGGCTGTGTAAGCAAGCAGAGGTATTCATCCTCATATCAAATAAAGTAGACTTCAAACAAAAGCTAACCAAAAGGGATAAAGAAGGATATTTTATACTGCTTAAGGGAACTATATATCAACAAGGCATAACAATTATAAATATATAATGCCCCAAACAATGAAGCATCTACGTTCATCAAACAAATTCTTCTCAAGTTCAAGCATCAAATAGAACACCAAAAGAATACTGGGAAGTAAAATATCTGGGAGAAAGTTTGAGGAAACATGGGCGTCCACATCACACAGAAACACAGGTTTTGAACACCAGGCTGAATCTGGAAATAACTACTCATCTTATTGCCTTTATGGTAACTGTATATGGAGATATATAGGTAAAGGTATATGGATATACTGTATTTAGGTATATATCAAAAATCAATAAGCAAGATATAACATTATTTTTGCAGATTTTCAAACAATAACTAAATTGCATTTCAACTGAAGGGTGAACAGGGGAAACAGGAACAGGATATCCATTGTTTCTTCTTCTACTGTACCTTCTATACCACAGAAACCATAAAAGCTAAATGCTACACTTCCCAGACTCCTTTGCAATCTAACTCCTAGAGGTGCTTTAGATTCTGTCAATCAAATGTAACAGAACTGGAGCAGAGACCAGGCATCTGTTGCTCCTGATGCCACAATGGCTATGAAGACATGTGGTTTCTTTGCTGTACCATTAACAGAGGTTCTGGGCTGTGGTCACTGGCTTGGAGGGCAGAGGGCAGGGCCAATGGCATCCATTCTAAGAGTACAGAAGCTTATGGGCACAGTGTGATTCCATAGCCAGCAATGTCATTGTGGCTATTGTGGTAACCACTATGGTGGTTTCCTACCCTAACTTTATGGCTTCCTAGTTGTGCTAGAGTGATATGGCACATACCCCCCCTCCCCCCAAGTGACTCATGCAGGTTTGGATAACTTCCTTGGGCAAAGCAAGAAGATATTGAAGTTCATGACCTGCCAAAAGCAAGGACCTTGATAAATTCCCTGCCCTTTGGGGAGTGATCCTGAAGGACCGGATCATCAGAGAAAGGGTGACCTGGAGGAAAACCAGTCTTCAGACCCACTGCAGTCCAGCCTTAAGGCTTCTGCATGGCCTGAAATATCTTAAATCCGGAAATGGAAATAAGTAATTCCGGACTTGTGGCTACCAAGTGTGGTACAAGCAAATGAGAATAATACTAGAGGAGGGAAATATCCTAAGCATCAAATTCTTTCAATGGAAACTTTTAAAACAGCATATCTCACAGAGACCATGATAATCAAGCATTAGGATAATAAAAATGAGCACCAGCAGAACGTACAATAGAAAAAAGAAAATATACAGAAGCTGTAGATCAGAATTCTAACAGAAGTCTAGTTCATGTTACAAATGCAATTTAAAACTTTCTAGTAACAACATTAAAAAGGTCAAAATAGTTTGTGAATATTTTCCTATAACTCAATGTATGTCAACTTATATTTTTACTTAACCACTATTGTTTCAACACGTACTCACCACAGGCCACATGTCCACTTCCTCTCAGAGCCCAGCCATCCTCTTCCCACCAAGGGCTACCAAACAAATGATGAATCCAGGATCTGTGAAAAAATAGGCATTGCTTGCAGTGCACTTGGACTCAGCCATGGAACACTAATGACAGGGACACTCCATGTTATAACCAGGAAAATGCATCTTTTGACCAAGAGTGGAGACCAAAACTATTGTAAGAAAGAATTCCTGCAAAATAAGAGAAAGGTAGAGTTCAAATAGTCCTTGGTAAGGAAGTTCTACAAGCTGAAATCATACAGAAGGCAAGCATATTCCTTTGAGATGAGGATTACTGATATAAAGAATATATCAGTAATATCAGAAATATTCTGACAGTAACAAAAATAGATAGTATCCTTTGAAAAGCAATTTTTTCATATTGTGGGAGGAAAAAAGAGAAAATGCCTTTTCGGTTAAAAAAAATTAGAAAAAGGAAAACAAAAGCAATTATCTGCTTTTCTCAATGTCAAATTCAATATTTGGCACATGCCTAACAAAGCAAAATAGTCTCATGAGAAATGCACGTTTTTGGCTTCTCATTTTGTCCATGCACCATTTTTAAAAGTAGATAAATGTTAATTCACTCCAGTTCTAATTCCCATCCCATAGTGCAAGCATCAGAGGCTTCAATGCTGTTCATTATTGTTGCTGGTATTGCTTGTTTGCTAGTTTGTTGAGGAGGAGGGATCTTAGATAAAACGCTTTGCAAAAGGAGATCTGAAATACACCACAGTGAATCACCACATCTGTACAACCACATGCTGGTATCCTAATTAGAGTAAGATGTACTCCATGTCTGTATAAATATGTCAAATCCCATTCTACTGTCATGTATAACTAAAAAGAACAAATAAAATAAATAAATGAATAAGAATATTTGAAATAAGTTCCTGTTCCACTGTTGCTAGGTCACCTGGTGTCTGTCAGCCAGAGCTGACAGGGTCATGCCGTTTCTAAGCAGAAAAATGCTCACGTGGCAGTAAACATAGAGGTATCCCATGAAGTGGCTCCAGTAATAAGTATTTCCATGCTCATTTGTACTCTAAATGTACAATTCTCTTGACTTTACATGATTTCCAGTGTGCCATTCTATATGTGAAATCCATAAATGATGATTTCTTTTCAAAAGCAAAATGTTAGTATACTTCTCAAAGAACAAGTCTGATCTTTCAAAATATTTACATATATTTATAATTTAGTAACAAAATTCTGTTACTAAATCTGTTTAATATCTCATAATATCTGATGAATGAAGCTAACAGTATGCCTAGTGTTAAAGCCTATTATTAACACATGCTTCCTTGACTGAAAAGGATGATGTTTTATTAAAATACCTATTATAATTACAATAAATCTAGGATAACATGGACTGGTTTTATGAAATCTATAAAATCCTGGAAGTCAAAGTGAACTTAATGTAATTCCAGCATTCATTTTGTTTAAAAGTTTATATGTTTTTATTGAAAAAAAAATTGGTTTTCTTTTCCCCTCTGTAAACCTGAAGAGGGTTCTGCATGGAAATAAGATTTTCAAAATTTACTCGTTGGTAAGATGACTCATGGCAGAAGTAATACCATGCACCTCTTTTTAATTCTGTAGCCCTGAGAATATGCCACATAAATTAGCAAAAGCCTACATATTTCTAACATACTCCCCAAGATAAGAGACTTTAAACACAAAAAGGAGTGTTGTCTTAAATTATCTCAATGATTCTGATTTTTATAAAAGAGAGGGGAATATGAGACTAGTAGTAGCTGAATAAAACAAGAACAATGAGTTTGACATATCTATGAGTGCACCTCAGAAGAAGTAGAGAAAGAAATTAAACCTCCCCCACTCCAAGAGACCATGACCAGCAACCAAGTAAACTGCAAAACTCAGCAGAGATGACAAACCCACATCCTTCTTTCCCAGAATGCCCTGAGAAACAAGTAAGAAAGATATAGAGCAACAGACACCTGGACAGCCACCCTGGTCATGTGCAAATAAAGAAATATTATTTTTAAAGCATTGAAGAAAAGAATTTTATTTCCAGTCAAATTCTCATTTAAGTTTGAAGGAGTTCGTATTCATTTTCTATTGCAGTCATGACAAATGACCCCAAACCTAGCTGCTCAAATCAACATATTTATTATCTTACAGTTCTATGGGTCAGAAATATGAGTTGGCTCAACTGATGTCTCCACTTTGAGTATCACAAGGTCAAAATCAAGATGTTAAACAGCTAAACTGTGATGTGGAAGCTCTTGAAAAGATATGCTTCTAAGGGCATTCAGATTGTTGGCAGAATCCACTTCCTTGCTGGCTGTGAGCAGGGCACTCCTTAACTTTCAGAGGCCTCTCTCTGGTCCACACATTTCAAATCCAGTAACAGTGCATTTAATCCTTCTCCTGCTTGGAGTCTAACTTTTCTTTCTGCTTCATCCTTCTTGACTCCAGCCTGAGAAAGTTCTCTTATTTTAAGGGCTCATCTAATGGCACTGGGCCCACTCAGGTTACCTGGAAAGATATTTCTATTGGAGGGCCAACTGATTGATAATTACAACTACAAAAACACTTTCAGAGCAGTGTCTAGATTACTGAAAGAATAAACAAGTAACGGGAACTTGATAAGAGGACTTTGGAATTGTTTACAAAGTGTGCTAAAAATATTTTGAACACAGAAAGCCTATAAAGAATATTTGCTCCTTAAAGGTCCAAGTTGGCAATAGAGTAGAAAAAGGAGATTGGGAGGGAGGGAGGAGGGAAGGACATAGGGAACAAAGTCTACCAAATCATGCTATGTCCATATGCGAATGGACCATAATGAATCCCTCTTACATATATAATATTCTAATTAAAATAGGACACTCCCTATCTGACCTTGGAACATTTTGATTTTGCTTTTGTTCTCAGAGTTTTTTCTGAAGGTTTAGGTTCCAAGGAGATTGGTCAAGTAGAGCAAGTGAGTCAGGAGGAGGTTTCTGGCTGCGAAACTCAAACCAGATACCAAATGGAGATGGAATCAGCTCTAGAGTTGACTGAAAGAGTGTGAGTTGTAGATTGTACTTTCTGAAATAGATGTCATGACATTTTTGACTGATGACTGTTGCACTCATTTTTTTAAAACATTTTCCTGCATCAATTTGCACTTCTGGTCAGTGCTCTCTGGTGGAAGGAAAGAGGTCAATAAAGAGATTATGCAAGAGTCCTGCACTTAAACAAGCTGATCCCTAGCCAGGGCTTTCCTAACTAAGCAGTTAGTTCCCCCCATTCTGATGCCACAGGCCTGAGGCCCAGGCCATGAGATGGGGCCCTGTGTGTTCTTCCTGTGTCTGGACCTCTGAATGGCTGTGTCAGAGGTGGTAGACCAGGAGCCAAGAAGTGGTAGACCACTCATCAAGAAGCTGGAGTCTTCTCAGGCTCAGGTGATCATTACACTAATCCCCACACTGGTTTGAGTGGGTATTTGAAGTTATTGAAATGATGTTTACCTGGTGGCTGGATAGATGTTCAAATGATTGGATCTAGAGATAATGATGGAAGTGACCAAAGGAAACTTTAAGATGTTAATCATAGTCAGGTGCTGCAACACATGCCTGTGATCCCAGCTTCTTGGAGGCTAAAGCAGGAGGATTGCAAATCGAGGTCTGCCTGGACCATTTAGCAACATGCAGTCACAAAATTTAAAAAAAAAAAAATTAAAGAAGCAGAGGATGTAGCTCCTGATAGAGCGCCCTTGTATTCAATCTTCAGCATCTCAAAAGAAAAAGAAAGATTCTTTCTGCCTCATGCAGGCGGCAGAGCTGGACACTGTCTATCTGACCTCGGAACATTTTGCTTTCGCTTTTGTTCTCAGCGTTTTCTCTGAAGGTTTAGGCTCCAGGGGCACAAAATCCACTCAAAACTATCCTTGATGGCAGTCTAGCTGACAACTGCCTTCAACCACGTTGATTTCGGACGGGACTTTCATTAGGGGCCCGAAATTCTTTCTTTTCAGAATGAAAGTGATGAGACCAAAGGTGGAAATGCAAATAGTTAAACCCCCGACCCAAGAAGTTCAGAGAGGAGGCAGGGAAGAGGATGAGGCTGGAGGCTCCAACTTACCCTTTGCTTTGGGTCCACCTTATAAGGTGACAGCCAGGGAGGCGCGGCAAGTGCGACCCAGAGGGCAGAAGCCAGTGGCGAGGAGGCAGCAGGTGTCGCTGAGGACGCATCCTGTCCCGTGCATCTCAGGAAGGGGGACCAAGGCGGGTCCGGCACCTGACCAGCGACGTCTCTGCCCCAGGCACGGGAGCGGAGGGGCCTCGGGCTTTAAGGTCTCCCAGGGCTCCTGAGCTCCGGACCCAAGGCCAGGTCGTGCTTGGCGCCTGGGCTCAGCTCCCGCCTTAATTTATTTGGGCGCGCAGGCCGCTGAGGGGCGGGACCGAACTTACGGGTACACCTCCGTCCCCTCCTCAGTCCCCACACTTTCCCTGCGTGCTCTGTCCCGCTGATCCGCGTCCCCGTGGAAGGTTCTCCACCCTTCGCCCGCAGAGGGAACCGAAGGAGCTGAAAAGAGACAAAAAGGTAAGTACAGGAGGACTGGAGGGCACGAAGTGGCAGGAGAGAGCGAGTGCGGGTCCCCAGTGCTACCTCCATCCTCAGAAGTGGGGACAGAGCTGCTCTCTCCCGAGGCCCAGGAGCATGAAAGAGCCACTGTGAAAGGTTTTGAGTTTTCCCGCTGCGGGTGGCATTCACTTCTGGACTCCAGGGGCGGTGTCGTGCGTTTCCAGGGAGGAACTGCCCTGAACTCCACGAGTCCCCTTTGCCCAGCACAGATGTCTCTATCAAAGGTCGTCCTGAGTCATAGTGGCAGGCCCAGTCCCTTCCAAGTTCATGGGATATCTACTTTTTTAGAATTTTTCTTTTAAAGGGAAAGAAAGGTGGGGGGAGGTGTCTCATGAAAAATCAAAGGGAGATCAGTAGAGTAGAGGAAAGAGACCAGGAGGGGGGAGGAGAGGAGAGAAAGGAAACACTGGGGGATCATATTAGCCAAATTCTGTTGCTGTATTGTGCGTGAACGAATATGAAACAACAAATGGCAACATTTCAGACAACTGTAATGCACCAATAAAACTATGGAATGAAATTAAAATTTAAAATATCAAAAAAGAATTTTCTGACATTTGAAATATCACTATTTCAATCATTAGTTAAAATTGTTAACTAAAGTATGGAAAATCCTTTACTAGAGAATTAGGCAGTTGTTATAAAGAATGTACATCTGAAATGCATTTATATTTTAGATTTAAAAAGAGCCAAGTGCAAAAAAAAAGACTTTAGAAAATATTTTCTCTTTTTTAATTGGTGCATTATAATTATACACAATAGGGCCCAGGATGTAGCTCAGTGGTAGGGTTGCATGCACCTGACCCTGGGTTTCATGAATACCTTAGAAGATGGATAGTCATAATTAATATTGTCACAGTGATCTACAGATTTGATGCAATCCCCTCTTGAAATATTAATAACAGCCCTCGTAAAACTACAGGGGAGAAAAACCAGTCATAAAATTCATCTGGAAGAATAAAAGAACCAGAATAGCCATAGCAATTCTGAGTAAGAAGAGCAATGCTAGAGGCATGTGACAGTCCCTGATCTGATCTCAAATTATACTACAGAGCTATAGAAGACAAAAATAAAATAAAATAAAACCTACATAGGTATTGGGAGGAAAAAGATATGAAGACCAATAGAATAGAATAGAACAGAAACCAGAGACAAACCCACTTAGATCCAGTCATCTGAGCCTTGACAAAAGTGCCAAAAAGATATATTGGAGAGAAGACAGCCTTTTTAGTGGTGCTGGGAAAACTGGATATCTAAATGTAGGAAGTGAAACTAGTCTGTCTCTCACCCTGCACAAGACTTAAATCAAAATGGATCAAAGACTCAGGAATTAAATCTTAAAACTGCTAGAAGAAAACAGAGGGTCAACACTCCAGCACATAGGTGCAGGCACCAACTTCCTTCAGAAGACACTTAATGTACAAGAAATAAGACCAAAATGAATAAGTGTGATGCCATCAAATTCAAAGCTTCTGCACAACAAGGACAACAATTAAGAACATGAAGAGAGAGCCTATGTGATGGGAGCAAACCTTTGCCAGCTGTTCCTCTGACACGGAATTTTTATCCAGAATATATAAAGAACTAAAAAAAAATTATCACCCAAAACAAATAAACAGACAACCCAATCAACAAATGGGCCAAAGAACTAAACAGACATTTCTCAAAAGAAGAAACACAAATGGCCAACAAATATGTGAAAAAATGTTTAACATTGTTAGCAATCAAGGAAGTGCAAATCAAAACTACATTGAGATTTCATCTCACTCCAGTTAGAATAACAATCACCAAAATTCCATATGCTAACAATATCTGATGAGGATGTGGGGGAAAAGGTACTTTCATGCACTATTCATGGGGCCACAAATTATTATAGCCACTTTGGAAAGCAGTGTGGAGATTCCTCAAAACACTAGGAATGGAACTGACTCAGCTATTGCACTCCTTGTTATTTATCCAAAAGAAATAAAATCAGGATACTATGATGATATGTGCATACTAGTGTTTATAGCAATGCAATTCATAATAATTAAGTTATGGAACCAGTCTAGGTGCTCATCAGCATTGAATGGATAAAGAAAATGTGCTCTATTTACACAGTGGAGTTTAATTCGGGCATAAAGAAGAATGAAACTACATCAGTTGCTGCTAAATGGATGGAACTGGAGAACATCATGCTAAGTGAAATAAGACAGACTGAGAAAGTCAAAGGCTGAATTTTTCTGTCTCATAGTTAGAAAAAGAAAAAGGGAAAAGAATTTAACAATAAAGGGACAATTTCCGGAAAATAGAGGAAAAGGGAAAACAATAGAACAAAGGAAGGGACTGGAGAAGGAGAAATGAGGAGAGAGTATTGGGAAGTACTGGGTTACAAAATCTACCAGACAGTGCTATGTGCATGGATGAATATGACATACATCTCACTATTATGTAAAATTATAATGAACCACTGAAAATATTTTACACATATTTGTTTTTTCTCCTTTTTTAATTGTGTCTTATAATTATACATAGTAGGATTAGGAGCATAGCTGGGTGGTAGAGTGCTTGCCCAGAATTTGCAAGGCCCTGAGTTTGAACCCCAGCATTGCTAAAAAAAAAAAATTAATTTAATTTAAAAATAATAGTGGGATTTATTATGACATGTTCATTTCACACATGCATATGTATAACATAATTTGAACAATTTCATTTCCCAGTACCTCCCCTTTCCTCCCTTCCTTTCACCCCTTGATCCTATTTCTCTACCCTAGTCATCTCCCTTCTATTTTCTTATTTTTGTTTTGTTTTGTTTTTTCCTCTTTGGCCTCCACATATGAGAAAAAATATATGACTCTTAACTTTCTGTGTCTGGTTTATTTAACTTAACATGATCCTCTTTAGCTTCACCCGTTTTCCTGCAAACAATATAATTTTGTTCTTCTTTAGGGCTAAATAAAACTCCATTGTGTATATATACATTTACTTTACCTATTCATCTGTCCACAATCAACTAGGCTGGGTCTATAACTTGGCTATGGTCAATAGTGCAGCTATAAACATGGCTATACCTTTATCTCTATAGTATGCTGATTTCAATTCTTTTGGATAAATACCAAAGAGTGGGATAGCTGGATCATATGGTAGTTTCATTCCTAACTTCCAAAGTAGGTGATTTTTAAAAGTGGATGTACAATAACCCAATCAATAAGAGGGCAAAGGAACTAAACATGTTTCTCTAAAGAAGTACAGATAGCAACAAATACATGAAAAACCACACAAAAATTTCATCTCCAGCTACAATGGCAAGCATCAAGGTTAAAAATTATAATTAGAGCTGGTAAAAATATGCAGGGGCAGGAGAGGGGAAAACGTGCAAAATTTGAAGACACGTGGGTTAATATGGCTGCTTATAAGCTACAAGAACAGAGTTGAGTGGTTGTAATACAGACTGCAACGCCTAAAATATATAATAGTAATCCCTTTACAGAAAATTCGAGGGCCCAGGCTGGGAATAACAGGAGAGGATGGAGTCAACCCACGTGCATCCCTCAAGGTTTTAGATTGGTACAAATCTCCATGTGTTCTCCAGGATGAAATATTACTTTTATCATAGTGTCTGGGGAATGGGGGAAGGAGTATGAGAAGATCGTACTTGGCTTTCCCTACTAGGGTAGCTCTGATTCCACAAGTGATTCACTAAGCCCATGATTATTCATTTCTATTACAAATACAGGGAATTTGAAATGACCCCTATTAGCAGGACCAGGGATAAGTCTATTCATTCCTGGCCCCTCTTGCACCTTGTCAGTACCAGGGGGCCATGGTGATGCTTCAGATGCCTGAATATGAGATCAACTCACACTGTCTCCAGGATGAATGTCTGAATGTTTTCTGTTTCTCTGTGCACAGAGACCAATGTGAACAGGCAGATTGCCTTGTGGGCAGGTTGAAAGGGGACACTAAACTGGCTATTGTGAATTGTGGTGCCATACACGTTGAAGAGGTTGTATCATTTTAGTATGCTGATTTTAATTCTTTATTGAAATAAACATCAAGGAGTGGGATAGCTGAGTTGTATGGAGGTTCTATTTCTCGTTTTTGGAAGAATCTCTGTACTGCTTTTTGGAGTGGTTGTACTAATCTGCAATCCCACCAACAACGCATCAGTGTACCTTTCCCTCCACATGCTCACTAGCATTTGTTATTATTCTTGACAATAACAAATTATCTGTATTCTTGATAGTTGTCCTTTTGAATGGAATCAGATGAAATCTTGATGTAGTTTTGCATTTCTCTGATGTATTTCTCTGATGCTAGAGATGTTGAAAGTTTTATTCATATATTTGTTGGCCATTTGTGTTTCGTTTTGTGAGAAATGTCTGTTTAGTTCTTTTGCCCATTTATTGATTTGGTTATTTGGGTTTGGGGTGATAAGTTTTTTTGAGGTCTTTATATATTCTGGATGTTAATCTTCTGTCAGAGGAACAGTGACAAAGATTTTCTCCCATGTGCAGACTCTCTTTTTGCTCCTGCTTCCCTTGCTGTGCAGAAAATTTTTAATTCAATGGCATCCCAGTTACTTGTTCTTGGTTTTATTTTTTGAGCCTTGGGGGTCTTGTTAAGGAAGTGCACCTATATACTGCACCTATATATTAAAGTATTGGCCCTATGTTTTCTTCTAGCACTTGCAAGTTTTCTGGTCTAATTCCTAAGTCTTTGATGTTTTTATTTAACTTTTGTGCAAAGTGAGAGATACAGATCTAATTTCATTCTTCTACATAAGGATATCCAGTTTTCCCTCCACCATTTGTTAAAAGGCTGTCTTTTCTCCAACATATCTTTTTGGCAACGTTGTCAACTCTCAGATGGTGAACAATACACTTTTGACTAAGCAGTCAATCTTTCAAGAAATCAAGAAGGAAATTTAAAAATTTGTAGAGTCAAATGAAAAGAGAAACACAGAATCTTTGCAACAGTAAAAGCAGATACATGATGGAAATTTATACTCATTAGTGCCTACATTAGAAACAGAAAGATCTAAAAAAAAAAAAGTAACCTAATGATGTATCTCAAGGCCTTAGAAAAACAAATTAGCCCCCAAATCAGTAGAAGGATAGAAGTAATAATAATCAGAACAGAAATAAATGGGATAGAGACTAAAAGAACAATAGAGAGGATTAATGCAATGAAGAATTGGTTTTTTGAAAACATAAGCAAAATTGACAAACTCTTAGCCAAACTAACCAAAAGAAAGAGAAGATGCAAATGAATA